TTAATGAACGGCTGAATGGAATAAAAAAGATTAATTCAATTAAAAAATTCTCTTTTAATCTAAAGGCAAAATAATTATTCTAACTTGTATATTTTATTTGGTATATCTTGGTTTTGAAAGCACTGCTAATCCACCTCCATTGCTATTGTCTTGCTCATTTGGTGGAAAGTTTTGCAGCAATATTCCGTTTAAGTCGATTAAAAAATAAGAGAAACTGAATTGCTGGTGCTGGAGCGAAGGATCCTGTTCTGCATGTCTGGATAAAACATACGCTGTAGTGTGATCCCAACACTCTTCTTTGTTTAAGGGCCTTTTCAAAAAGTACACTCATTGTTTGACTTATTTGGTATCTTAGCTCCCTGTGTTGTTGAATAATTTGGTTTGTGTTATAATATAACGATTGATAACTTAATTTTTTTTTCAGATTTATGTTTAGCCCTCATTTGTCAGTTTTAACCCAATACAGCAGTTGTTTTATGTAACAGGACACAGTATTTAAGTGGCAACAACTTGTGACTTGTGATAATAAACACAGAACTTCAGTCTATCTTCTACAGAATTTTATCTAAAGTTAAAATAAGCACTTTCTTCCTGCATTATATTCAAATGTATCAGCTTACAGATTCTTTTACATTCTTTTTCAATATCACCTTTTTTTCTCAAACATGCTTTTTTTCTGTCTTGCTGTGAGATAAAAAGTGAAAGAGCATTGAAATCTGGGATGAGCACCTTACTGCATACAAATAAGCTTGTAGACAACAATTAGCCAATGGAAGTGGATTAACCTCCATGCCATTCACCAGCTGGGATTTAGTAACAGCCTGTAGTTGTAAACATACTTGTTGATGACCAATCTGCAGTATTTCAAATGGGAAATAGAAATCATTAGTTACTTCGCAGTGAACCATGAAGATTATGATTTTGATCAAATCTCTATTTATAATGATATCGTGAGTACAATAGTTTTGAAATCCTTTGTGAAATGTGAGCTAAATTGAAATAAGTTATTATTTACATTTTAGCTCAGCTGTTGATGACATTCTGGTAAAGTTCTCCAAATAACTCAGTGAGGCATCTACAAAGTTAATGTACCAGAACCAGATCTGTGGACACTATTTAGTGTTTTACAATTAGCCTTTGCATGTGAAGGAAAGAGAGAGTTCAAGACTATAATAGGCTTTACCATGACTCTAAAATCCATGTCAAAGCCAATAGAAGCAGTTCTTCTTTCTGTGTGTTGTGTTCAGCTGCCAGAGCAATGATGATAAGTAAATCAGACTTAACTGGTTCATTGCCCTTATACATAATGTCTGGTCATGATGACCATGTGGGTCATAACTGTTTCAGAACTGAAACATAGCTCTCAGAAAAAAAATGCAAAACAGAATTTAGAACNGCTTTGCATTACTGATGATAAATGTATCTGACTATTGCAAATATGAAGTAGACACAGATAGTGAAAGTGGATTTTCAATTCAGTTTATTTATATATTTTTTTTTTTATTTTTTTATTTTTTACCATAGTCAATAGGTCAGTAGGCTCTTTTTCTTTAAATGGGTCAACAACTCAACTGTATATTGTGGTCTAACATGAGTATAGTTGCAAACTAGAATTATGAATAGTACAGAAAAAAAATTAACAAAAGAAAACTAAGTAGGAATCTCCCAGAAACGTTATATATAAAAGAGGCGTTTTCATTTACATTATTCTGGATTATGTTTCCCACTGTTGGCAGCAAAACTGTTTTTGCCAAAGACGGAGCAGCCTATTATTGGTTTCCTCCGTCTCCTCATCACATGCACACATGCTCTCTCCTTTCTGTTCTACTCTCTCTTCCTCTACTTTGACTGACACTTGGTTTCCTCCAATCTCTGTAGGGCCGTGTGAGGCGAGGAACCAGTAGCGTTTCAGGAAGGGTGGAGCTTGGAGCAGTTGGGCAGCTTCAGGCAGGGATGCTGCATTTGGACCTTATTGACGGTGCTGACGGTTACTGCGGTGATAAAGAGGCATCCGCTGTTGCAATCGCACCAGGCATCAAGGACTCTGGAGCACCAGTTACCATGGATACTTACCGGCCCAAGAGACCTACGACCCTTAACCTTTTCCCGATTGTGCCACGCTCACAGGTGTGTCCTAATTTAACCTTATCTACACATACACACTTTCACACACATACATGCACTTTCTTACAAGGCAGACCACTAATGAAAATCATGAGTACAAGAAAGGTATTTCTTTGAAGAGTGTTTGTTCCCTTAAACAAGAAAATGTCTTCTATCAATGGAAATATTGTGGAACAATTGTTTTCCTGACTGGATCTTTGTGGAGTGAACAATAGCTTTCATTGTCAGGACATTTTTTCCCCTTGGTACCCATCTCTGTGTGATGTGGGAGCTTTTTGGGGAAACTTTCTGAGAGTATACTGTTTTAAATCAGGGTAATTTTCTTTTTTTTATAGTGTTTGGTGGCAGAGAATATTAATGTAGGCTTCTTAGCATCATATGAAAACAGTTTAGAAGACAATGAAAGTGTTGTAAAAAAAAAAAAGACATGAAACACAGCAAGATTGTGTGGAAATGTAAAAGTGTAATATTAAGTCCCATGTGTGAACCTTTCTGAGGAAGACCTTAGGACTACGTCTGATAAATCAATTCCTAAAGTTATATTAAATAGTCACCACAGGGACTGAGAATGGTAAAACAGACATACATGCATAATTTGATGGACAGGTGTTAGGTTCGGTAATGTCACATCCAAAATTAGGGGATCAACTAACAGCAAAGAAAATAGTCATTACTGCATTATTTTGCATCGCATATCTATCATTAAGAACCAGCAATACAGATATCGATGAATGTATATTTGCTAGTGATATATTCTTTTTCAGAAACAACAATTGGTGTACTAAAAAACAAAACTAATGGTTGCTACTGTCTGAGACTAGAAGAGGTTTGGCTTTAGAATTAGACTCTGGAATAATGGAAAACGGATTATAAATAGGTCAGGAAAGATGATTCAGATAGATTTTGCAGGTTGGTGAGAGGATGAGAAGGGAAAACACAGACACAATTAATCTTTCCAGATTAAAGTGACTCTTTACCAGTCTATTCAACAAAATGTGTTGCAAATTTAAGGATAACCCCAAAATATTCTTCATAACTTAAACAATATTGAAATAATTTTAATTTAGGGATTTACTGATTTGAAAATCTGGGCAAATATCAATATCCAATAATACAATAACCGATTTTGGCAACTACATTGAAATGAAAATCAGTTGTTAATTACATATTACAGAGTTTAGTCCTTGTTTCCTCTAATGGCTGGGTCCAACACAATTATTCCCTATGGCAAATGGCTGCTCACACTGATTAATGCTCCTCTGGAGGTTTCCTCTTCTTAAAGAGAAACTTTCCTTTAAGCTGTTGCCCAATGCATGCTCAAGTATTAGGACTTGCTGCAAAGTTCAGTTCAATTAAGTTTATTTATTTAGCAGCAATTCACAACACATGTCTTAAGGCACTTTACAGGGACATTTCTTTCAGATTGGTTATGAAGACCAGTGTGATTGTGTCTACTCATTAACTTGCAAGACATGCTCCTCCTGGGTGAGCCGGGGTGAAGACCTTTGCTTGCATTTATTAGTCGAAACTCCAGCAATCCCTCACACCAAGCATACATATAGCAACAGTGGGGAGGAAAACTCCCTTTTAACAGGAAGAAACCTCCAGCGAAACCAAGCTCAGTTTGAGGGAGCATCTAATGAGGCCGACTGGGGTTAAAGGAGACAGAAGCAGACATAGAAAAAGAAGCAGAAATACAAAAGCTCACTGATAACTTGCTCCACAGGTGGCTTAGTCCAGGAAAGACATAGTCACGCACACAAACACCAAGCCAATTCTGCTACTTACAGTAAAAAAACAGGACTACATTGAACACAAGCCAATCTCCAACATCTATAAACAGAGATGTTGATGGCAGAAGCACAGCTGATATTTCATTCGAGGATGGAATCACAGGAGTCATTAAAAGGTCAGATGAATCTGCTATGATGAGAAAAATCAGATAGAGCAAATCTATGCATGGAACTTGACAAATACTGCAGAATGGGAGAATAGAGGTAGAATGAAGCAGAATTAAGAATCCAGCAGCCCAAACATATACAATGGCAGCACAAACACAGCTCAGGATATTCTAACTATTTTGGATAAGGTATAAGAAAGGTAGAGCCACAATAGGGCCAAGTTAGAACCAAGGAGAGACGACAGTCCTGACTGAAATTCTCCACCTGCCCCTCTACTCACTCAGGAACTAAAGAAAACTAACAACACAAAACAGGCCACAGTTGTATCATACTGGTGTGGGATAAGTGAATGCTGCAAGTAAGTGAATCCAATTGGTCTGCTGGACTTCCTTGGATGAAAAACCTAATCATTTTTGTCATTTCAACTCTTTTAGAATATGGTAAATTTTATTTTCTCCATTTAGCCCCTCATTACTCTTTGGTGGGCCTCCACTGTGCAGGAGAGGATGCCTGCAAGCTGCTGAAAATTCTAAACCACCACTCCCCTAGTAAACGGGTCACTGCTTGTTTTGCTAATTGAATTCCGTGGGAACTTGCAGTAAAACTGAACAATTTCAGCATTCCAGTAGTCTGACTATCCCTTGAATTTATCAGACTGTAGATAAAACAGCTTCTGTAAAGAACAGTTTTTTTTTTTATTTTAAAACAATGGCAAGTAGCTTGTGCCTGTTGTGGTGTGAAGATCTAAATAATTTTAATGGCGGCTTTGGCTCACACCAATTTTACTGTAGATAATGCTTTTTGCCCTTTAGCTCAGAGGTCAAAGTCACTTCTTCTTTTGCTGGAGCAGACATGAAGTATTTCTGTTTGGTAGCCCATCTTTCAGGTAGTTCAGCAGCAGATGGAATCTGACCTTCTTGTTTCCAGCCTGAGCATAGCTTTCCAGGTTATGAGAGTTTGTCCTGGAATATTAGGGTCATATTTAGCCTCATATCACTGAGAGGACTTATGTCATCGTAAATTAATCTTTTATGCATGTACTATTAATAATTTAACAACTAGTAAATTGAATTGAATTGAATTGAATACTTAACAAATCAATTATCAAGAATAACATAGCTATAATGTACACATTTTTTTTTGTTTTTATAAACAACAACAAATAAGGCTTAAACAGTAGCACATTGAGCAGTTCAAATGAGATGAGATGGTGGAATGCTGATGTTTTCCTGGAGTTTCTTATTCCTCACACTAAGTACTGTAGAGAAATCTGGGTTTCACACAAAAATGTCTTTTTTTTAAACCTCAGTGGACAGCTTTCTCTCTGACTGAACTATTATTTGAAATCTGATTTCAGATTGTAATTTAGGGTTGTCACGATACTAAACTTTTCAATTCGATACCGATACTAAGGAAAATATTCGATACTCGATACCATTTTTGATACCACAAGGATAAAAACAAAGACTCCAAAATTCAACAGAAATTTTCATTAATAATAAAGGTACAATAAATAAATACAATAAACAATAAGAACAATATTTTGAGGTTGTTTGCTGTGCAGAGTATTAAGCAAGCTTGATTAAAAAAATTACAAAATTAAGTGTTCCTTCCTTGGCTATGCTTTGCACACATAACAATGACACAAGCCAAACCGGTTAAGAAACAAAAATAATTCTCAGCAGCTGCACCTATTACAAAAAAAGTCTCAAACTGAAAAGTGCACAAAATTATTCAATCACACAGTGTTCTGAAAGTGCAATTTCCACTATTCTGCACTTTAGATGGCTGTATCGATACTTTTGAAAATGAGTATTGTATCCGGATACAAAGTTTCAGTATCGATACTTTTTTGAATATCGATACTTTTGACAACCCTAGTGTAATTATTTAAAAATGTCCAAGTCAACAGCCAAACCCAAAATTACCAGCTTTATTACAATCAGTAGAAATTAATATGCATAGCATAGCAGTTAATGACCAGATTAAAAAAAACAACTCATTGTTGGTTTTAATGACTTATTGCATGGTGATACAAACATCTGAGTCCTTACCATTGTGAAAGTTAATTTTTTGGTGATGCCTTTTAGGACAGGTTTTTAAACAGCTCTTTAGCATTAAAGTTAGCCTTTGAAAACATATTTTTTCTTATATTACTATTTTAAAGACATTTTTTTATATCCTTAAAATGACACCAATGATTATATTAACCATAAAAAAAACATTTCAAATTGAAAGAAGAATAGAATAAAAATTGGCACACAGCATTGTATGGAGACGTGTTGACAGGGGAGGTACTATATGCTTAGCATCCCTTTTAAGTCTGCTTTGATAAAGTAGCCATTAGAGAGAAAGACAGATGCCTGTGCCAGAAAGGATTCGTCAGTGTTAATCTGAGTCTAAGGCTAATCACCCATCTAGTTAAGACACACTATGTTGAAGTAAATGTTTGAGTAAGGGATTTCCTAGACATACAAACTTTTTAGGACAATATATGATAGCAGATCTATAAAAAAAGGTGTTGAACTGGGAAGATTTCATACTTTTTAGGGAGATTAAACTGGTTATTCGCTCCTTATTGTATTTGCTCCTAGGGGAAAAAATCTTTGGATTATTGTTGACTGGAAAAGGAGGATTCTATCACAATATAATCACAGTCTAAGTGTGAGACAGCTAATATTTTTGGTAAAACATCAAATAGTAACATCCAGTCCAATCACAGCAACACCATCCTAATCATTAATGCTGAATCTGTTGCCTCTCCAGTCATGATCAGCCTGTCGTGGTGGTAAAATCTTTTGCTTCTCAGATCATTCGGCGCAGCTTCCCACCTGCTGATTCACTCGTTACCATGGCAACAGCCGAGTTTCCGCCTGGTAAACGTAAAGGAGAAATGACTCATGTTTAGTGGGCTGGTAGAGAAGGAACGCAGAATCTAATGTGGGACACAATGCCGTCACAGGAATTTCTAGTTGGTTATCCATCTGTTGTTTCTCTAAACCTGGAAATAAACCCAACTACACTAGCCATTAGTATTGCTACATTAGTAGCAAGACAATTCACAGTGCTGTGCAGGAAAAAGTACAGTGCAGATTAATATAAAAGGAGAATTATAAAATGATTGATTAAAAATGATTGACTGAAATCTTAACTAATTATGTTAATTAGATTTGAGATGGGCCTGTAGTTCTGCAGGTTTCACCTAGTTTCTCTTTTTAAGCAGCAGTTAGATAATTACTGGTTTTAAAGCTTTAAGGGAAAACACTTCACAAAAGGAGCATTTTAATTATTTAAGTTAAGTAACTTAAGCATATCTTAATGTCATAATGTCTTAGATATATAGGGCTTATCTAGAACACAGTGTAGTTTTTGAAAGGATTCCAGCTACAACAATTTAAACATTTTGCTTTTTTTTACCGTACACAGGACATCCAACCATGGAAAAAAATTATTAGACCAACTTTTCTTTTCTTTTTTATTGTATACTTTAGGTCATATACCTTAAGAATGGGAAACTGAATAAAAAATGTGTGGTATAACATTTTTATTCTCAGGACATTCTTTTGGAGGGAATAGTACCATAGTTTTCTGTGCTGTTGATCCTTTTGTAATTTTTAGTGCTAGTTTTCATATGGTTGTCAAGGAGTGTATAGGTCATGCAAAAACATGTTCAAAATGTAATAAAAACACAAAAATGAGAACTCAAAGAAAAAAGTTAGGCTACTACAAAAACACCAAACACAGTCAAAGGAGAAATGCTGCAATCACAGAAAACAGAAAGCAGCAAAGTGCAAATATATGGAAAACCCATTGCAAAGATATAAATTGCCTTTTGGAAAGGTAAGTTAAATATTTCGTAAATATTGTTATCTCCCTTTTATCTCCTCTTTCTTTCATCTTTTTTTCCTTTTTTTCTGTTCTACTTACATCGCAGTGTCCAAATAATATGTAAAACTCCCTGTATAATTATAAAGTAAAATCTGTTGGGCTCTTTTTGGCAGCAAGACAATTATTCTTATTGCCACATCGCCAGAAATGCCACTGTAAAAAAAAAAAAAAAAAAAAAAACAATTCATAATGCTCACCTGAGGTTCCATTCCACTAATGCCAACCCTTTGGTTAGCATTAGAGAACATGGCAACCAGCTGATAAGTGTGCTACTTAATGGCAAGGAGGAATTAAACTTGTTGCTTTACCATTAAATAAAACTAATCAAATAAAAATAAAATCCTTCTTTGAAAAAAAATACCCAAAATAACTTCATATTTATGAAACCAGATCTAAAATGTGATTTTTTTTTTTTCTTTTTTATATGATGACAGTAATAATTTTTGAAATTGTTTATGTCCTATAAAGATTACAAATGGGGTGCTTTAAATATGGAAGGTTTGTAACAGCTTTGTTTTGTTATTTCAGGATGAAGGCAATAAAATTAAGCACTAAGTGAAAACTTTGGCCATGGCACATTATCACTGCGGGTGTCCAAAAATTCCTGTTTGAGTCCCCAGATTTCAGAAATTGATCTGTGGCATACCCATGAAAATGTATTTACATCTTTGCTGATCTTAATAAAGCAAGTCAAAACTTAAAACAGGAACCTCAAGTGTTATACAGTACCTTCACCATGTACAACTAGACAAAATGAGAGCAGAGACCCTCTGACTGTGTGAATTCTCCCAGAGGTCCGGTCCCTTTAAATGCATGCCACGAAGCATGGACAAAAGAAATCCCAGCTCATTCATTTTGATCATTGTGTGTGTCTCTGTGTGTTCGTGCATGTAACGCTTTCACCAAAGTCGGATGCTATATACTAGTATGTCGAATGTGGTGACACAGTTCTTCTTTGTCTCTCTCTCTAATTTTAACACAATATCTATCTTTTCCTCCCACCGGGCTCTTAACTTCCTCTTCTTTTTTCCAGGACACGTTAAACAACAACTCATTCGGCAAGAAATACAGCTGGCAGGAAAAAGTTTCAGGCTCATCCTCTCCCCTAAAAACTGGTAAGCTTTTCTTTTTCCAATTTCTACGCAATGATTTTTATGTTTTTGTTGACTAAAGTGTCACTTCTGAACATTGACAATAGTGGAGGTTTCCTATTGGTGTGATCAGAAGGTGTCATTTTCTTCTAGCTTGGCAGGCTGATTCCTTACTAGAAATAGACGAAAAGCTTGATGTGAACCAAGGCGAGTGTGGCTTAGGGATGGCTTTTGTGAATTTTTGGTGTGTTTTTACCAAGCATTAGCTCAGAGGAAACTGTCATTTTGCATTGCTGCAGCACTGTTTAAAGCCCAATTTGGTACATGAAAAAAAGGAAACTGGCAGGCATTTGGAAAAATAAAAAATAAAATAATATTTTTTTTAATTTATAATAATAAATAATAATTTGCTAACTTGAATATTTTAAAATGCAAAACAAGGAAAACCGAAAACAGCTTTCATGTGTATAGAATCAAGGCTATCCTTGGCAAAGGAGACATAACTTCTTCCCTCAGGCAACAAATGTTTGAAGGAGCTACCGCTAACTAAAAATACTGGACATTATTATTATTATTATTAGAAAGACATTGCACTGCTGTTTGAAATGTGAAAAGAAATATATCTCAAACCAATAGAAAGTTCAGTTGGGTTTAGTTAGAATATGTTATAACGTTCAGATGTGGGGGTCAAATTTTCTTAAGCTGGGAAAGTAAGAGTCAAAATAAAGATAATGTAGATGATAAAGTGGCTGTGCATCTCCATACAGTTCTGTAGGTTTAGTCAAAGTATTTTGTAGTAGAAATAATTTAGGCTTGAGCACAGAGGGGGTGCAGGAGTTAAGTGCACGACTCATTAACAGAAGCTTTTTTCCTCGATGCGGCCATCACAGGTCCAGGTCCCGACCTGGTAACTTTTGCTGCATATTTTTCCCCCCTTTCTATACTCCCATTTCCTTTCTACCTACTTTCAAACATAAAAATATTTAAAGACCAGTGGAGCCTTAAAGATAAACAATTAGTAGTTTAACTTGATAGGTTTTCTTACACAGATCAAGGAATCTGCAGGTAAATCTATTTGTTATCCATTCTGGAATACTCTGACTGGTAGTTGCAAACATGCAGGAAACGACAAAGTGAGCTGCAAACACACATATGATGCAAACTCTAGAACAGAAAATCACAAAAAACAAATGCAAAAGAGAAACACTGCAAACAAAAAGAAATAAGCTGCAAAGAGGTGAAAATATGAAGCGTCTGGCTCTAAACAAAGATATGATGCAAACCCCGAAATACACAGGAGAAAAAAAAAAAAATGTGACAGAAAAACGCTGTAAACAGAGAATACTGAAATCACTAAAAATAGAAGAAAAAACCTTTAATCAACAAAACAAATGCAAAAACAAAATGCTGCAATAACAGAAAGAAACAAAGCGAAAGTGCTCCAAACAGCTAGAGGGAGTTAAAAAGAGAACAAACTATATTGGCCCCGGGCATTACATTCTTCTTTTTCTTATGTTTCTTATTGGGGGATGGCAACCAACTTAAGGTGCATTTACCGCCGCCTACCAGACTGGATTGTGGTTATCAATGATATCAGAGGGAAGTTATTAATTCATACCTCAATGGTATGCACGAATCTCTATATTATCTATGTATCAATATCTATAAAAACTCACTTATAAATTAATATGTGTAGGTATTACTTTTACTTAATCCGTTACAGTTTGTTCTTTGTTTTACTCCCACTAGTGGTCTGGAGCACTTCCTTTTTTTTAGACCAAGTTTGCAGCTCTTTTTGCTATTTGCATCATTTTATTTCTGTGATTGCAGCATTTTTTTGGTGCTGCATTATATATGTGCTTGCTGTATTTTTTCTTTGCATTCGCTTTTATTGATACTAGGTTTTTGCTTATTTTTAGTAATTGCAGTATTTTTTGTGTGGAGCACTTTTCTGGGACATATTTTGTTTTAGAGTTTGCATCATAAATGCGTTTGCAGATAATTATCTGTTTGTAGTTCAAGTCAAAGAGTTGAAGAAAAAATGTAACTTTTTTTCTGATCTATTCCTGGTTTAATGTTTTGAAGATACCCTTCTTTCTCAAGACTAAATATCCTTATAAATATCCTTAAGGCTTTTCTAACTTCAACCATCCATTTTCCTAAAGACTGTAGCCAGCTTTTCTATCCCTGCTAGAGAATGGGGTCACCTTAGCGTGATTTGGCCGCCATAAGGTTTTATGGTGGAGATAATAGTTCAAGGTTAGATGCAGTTTTATTCGTCAGATATTTTACCATTTGAGCAATATTGGAATAAACAGAGAAGCTCTTATAATAATGATATGTATCTGTTCTCATATATGTCTTATTTATTTCAAGGAAAAAATTAAAGAACTTAACTTGAGATGAATCTGAGACATTTTCTGTCAGAGCTTTTACTTTTTGGTAGGCTGACAAGATATACGGATGAATTAGAGAGACACTTGCAACAGAAGTTCACAAGCCAGTATTTGTACACCAGTCTTGTCACAGGTGATTGAACTCTACTGAACCTTTAGTGTTCTGTCTTCACAAGTCAATACTGTATCAATGATGTAGATTATTATTATAATGCTTTGATTTACTGGTGATGGATTATGACGTAACAGGTGACATAACACAGCCGGCTCTGAATTTGATGAGTGGAGGGGGGGTTATCAGTATAATCCTGACATTACCTAACCATTTCTACTTGTTTTGCTTTCTGCTTTTATTTCTGTGCATTTGCTGCAATGTCCATTCGTAATTATGGCTCTACATTCCTTTATGTCTGCGTAATGTGTGCCTGCTGTGTTTGTGTGCCTGGCTTTTGCATGTCCTTGTGTATCTCCATGTTTCTCTGTGTGGCTTTCTGCATTGCTTTTTTTGCATCCTTTTATTCTGTAGGTGATCTCACTCCGCCACGAGAGCACAGCTGTCTGAGTGACGAGGATAAGGTGCAGGGTGGCGCTGCACAGACCAAAGACAGAGGGACCTCCACGGACGCCCCCTGCCGACACGGCCACACCTCTGGGCACTCGCACAGCTCAAGCTCGGGAGCCGCAACATGCTCTAAGCTGCAGGAGAAGCCGCCCCAACCTCCACCTCCACAGAACTACACACCAGCTCCTCTGTACCCTGCGGGTAAGCAGGACAGCTTGGGCCACCGGGACAAGACTCGCTACCAAACGGATGTTCATCTGGAACCCACAGAGGAGATATATCTGACTCCAGTGCAGCGTTCAGCAGAATCGTTGGAACCCCCAAATGTTCAGGACAGACCTTTTCTCTCACAGCAGACTGAACAAGGACGCATGTCAATAAGCTCCGATACAGAGGGACCACCACCTTATCAGCCCCTCCCAGACCGGACCAACCCCTCCATTTTTGAGGAGGATGAGCTCTATTTACCTCCACCTTCATATGCTTCCTGTGTAGAGTCTCTCATCACACCACCTAGCACTGCTGCATTAGACCTCAGCTTAAAGGGGACAGGAGCAGGGGCCATGCTGAGGCCTGGGTCATCAGTAGAATATGTGGATGCAACAGATGAAAGCTACTGTGGAGAGGATGAGGATGTAGACAGAATAATGATGGATGGAAAGATGAAAAAGATGGAAGGAAAGGGAGATAAACCTGCCCCTCTAAGGACTACTATAAGCTCAGAAGCCAGCAGCCTGACATATGACTCAGTGAAATACACACTAGTGGTGGATGAACATGCTCAGCTAGAGCTCGTCAGTCTCAGACAATGTTACCAAGGCTTCAGCGATGACAGTGACTCGGCCACAGTCTACGATAATTGCGTCTCCTCTCCATATGAGTCAGCCATCGGAGAGGAGTATGAGGAAGAAGATGAAGATGAGGACCATGACCCACGGGCAGGAGCGGCCCAGAGGGAGGCCACAGCTTGCCTATCTGAGGACTCAACACCTGAAGAAGACCTGCATTTCACCAAGAAGTTTCTCAATGTTTTTATGAACGGTCATTCTCGCTCTTCTAGTAAGTCACTTCTGTCATTACCCTAAATTCTAATTTTAACTTTTAAATGAAATTGTATTTTATGGTTAAAATAGATTATTCTTCAAACTGCTAAAATTATTTGAATCTGTTTTTCAAAGGTTCTTTTAATTCGTCATTAATGTCCATGAGAAATTTTGGCCATAACTACCTGTGCAGATTTCAACTAAATACTTTTCCTTAAGACAATTTTGAAAATGCTCCCTAATTAAGATGAAAAGAAACTTTTCTACGCTGATAGATCTACTTAATCGTTTAATTTCCCCTTAGGTAATAATATATTTTTTAAATGAGTTGAAATAAATGATCGCTTGTAGAAAGACACTAAAATATAACATATTTTCTTTCTGCATAGATATTTATCATCTTATCAGCTTCAATTGAAATCATTTACGTTTCAGCTTAAAACTTGTGTTGGATACTTCTTTCTAAATAGTTTTCTTTTTACAAAACATACCTGCAGTAAAAACAAACACCTAACAGATCAATGGTGGCTCAGAATTAGAGTAAAAATTTGTTATGCGTTAACAATTTTTTAATATGTTGGGGCTTTGCTTTGTTTATGCTTGAAAATGTTCTATCATAATGCATTAAGACATTCAAAAGACAGTTGAAAATATTTGATTTTAACTTGTGCGCTATGAAAAGAGTGCAAAAAATTCTTCTGAATCAGGCAGAGATCAATTTCCTAATAAAACTTGAGAATTTACTGCAGGCTTAATAACCTATCAGTTTTAGTCATGCATCGTAAGCAAGTATCATCTAGGAATAAATAGTTTCCTTCTCCAAATTTGTATTTAATGAATTAACTTATATCTATATCTGTATTGGGCTTTGTGTTTCTAAAGCTTCTTTAGATTTTATACTGCACTCTGGTGCTAGTTTACTGTTATTTGTACCACTTGCATTTTTAAACCTTTTAGTGTCACAGCACTTAATCTACAAAGTACAGCGTGAAGTAAGGGATTTCAGGAGATTCTTTGTCAAAATACACATGGTTAATCTGTTTTATAGATTATTAATTTGATTTATGGACTCTTCAGTTTCTGTGTTCTTGAAAATGATTGAATTTACATTGGATTTTGGTAGACTTTCACTTAAAAAAAATATATATATATTTTTTGACAGTCTAAAATAAAAGATGACAGTGCAGACTGTTAAGTCTGTCCTTCTATGTCAGTTTTCCTCATATTTTTGACCTCTTTTATGGTATTTTAGGTGCAGAGTCCTTTGGCTTATATTCCTGTATTATAAATGGGGAAGAGAAAGATCAGACCCACAGAGCAGTATACAGGTAAAGCAGACTGATATATTTATCATCATACATTTAGTTTGTAATCTTTATAGTATCCTGAAAGTTTTTTGTCATTTTTTTCCCAATCCATATATTGCCACATGTTTTATCAACCAGCACTTTGTTGAAATAGCAAATGCATTTCTTACTTATATTACTATTCAATTTGCAGTTTTTTTTTGTTTTTTTTTTAGATTTGTATGATTAAATGAACTTCCATATTTTGTATTATTCAGCATACATTCACATTTTGACCTCTGCTGCCATTTTGCAAAGGCTGCAAAGGATGTTATAAGGACTCTGGTTAGTAAAGAAAAAAAAAAACTCCAATTCCCCTAGTTCGCACTGGGGACTTCCAGCTGCCACTGAATCCTCAGGCTGTTCCAGGCAGTGGGATGCAGCCACCAAAAGAACAGTAACACAGTCAGGAGAACAAGAGCATCTTTATCAAGCAGGCAATCATATGATGCGGGTGGGGGGTCATTTTCCTCACACAACTTAATAGGATATCACTACTTTGGTAAAGGCTTCCTAGCCAGGCCGTCAATGTTGTGTTAGCAGGAGATGTGCTTGACCGTCGCCATGTTAATTAACCACATTAATTGACATGATCAAAAAAAAGTTTTTCCATTAAGATGATCTATGAACCCATTTTGAATCTACTATGTGATCAAACATTAAAGGGATTCATTTTTAAACTGATATGGTCTGTAAAAGTACTTGGGAAAATTTTTTCATCCCATAACTTTTTAGTGTCTAAGCCTTTTGGTTGACCAGGCAGGTAAAGGATGAATGCAGGAAACCCAAAAAAATGTACATAAATGCAGATTGATTTGCTTGAATTTATTATTTATGTATTTCTTTAAGTTAACTTGTTTTTTTAAAGAGAGAGTCAACTTTAATGATTGTGCACATTTTAATGGCAAGACGGTTCAAAGTGCTCATTGGATCTTTTGCTGAAGGAAATGTACATGTAGGCCAAATGAATAAAATAAATGTCTTAGTAAAAGTGCTGGCTATTAAACCATACTTAAGGCTATCTAATTAATTAGCTTTTTAAAGGCACTTGAAAAAAAAAAAGGAATAATTTAACGAAACTGTTATCAGAAAACATTATATTGAATGTCTTTAGTAACAAAAGTTGAGGAAATCTGGATAAAATATTCTCATATTGTGCAGACTTTGCCAAAAACTCACTAAAGCTCATTTCCTCCTGTGGCAGCAAGGTATGCTGCAGCTATGATGGTTGCAAACGGAAAATAACAGCTTCTCTTTTAAGTCGATCCTTCTACGGTGAAATTCCACTTGCAAAAAATTGAGGCATATACTTACTCAAATGACATAATGTATCTCTGTCGGCCACCACAGCTCAGCCAACTGGTGTGGCATCCCCCACATTGATATGCTGTGTTTTAGTTGCCATAGTGAGTTTGTTGTTAAATGTAGAATTTGAATATCCTACAGGGACAAAGGTACAAGAAAACCACATTTTTGTGTAAAGGTCTCATATTTCTCAACAGGTTTGTGCCTCGACATGACGATGAGCTCGAGTTGGAGGTGGATGACCCATTGTTGGTGGAGGTTCAGGGAGAGGATTATTGGTACGAGGGCTACAACATGCGAACTGGGGCTCATGGGATCTTCCCGGCCTACTATGCCATAGAGGTGAACAAGGACGCAGAATGTTATAAAGGTACTGACATGGCTGCTATGTTAGAATATTTTGATATCAGTGAAACAGATTTGTAACTGAAACTGTGCACAGAGCACCTACAATAAGAGTCAGAATCAGTCGTAAAAGTTCAATAACAACATCTTGCTACAGAAATCACCAAACAACCTGACTGTGACCATGCTGTATATTTTCATATTATTCTTTTCCAACAACCATTCACTCCATTGAAAAAAATCTTTATAGTGTTGCATTAATGTAATTCTTTCAGTGTCTGATTACTGATATTTTTTTGCAAAAAATATTTAGAGAGCTTGTTTTTTTTATAAAGTGTTATATGCTGAAAAACAACTTTTTTCTTTTCTTTTATTTTCTGGTATCTTTGTAAGGTTCTAAAATAGCATTAGTGTAAAATATGAATGCCGGTAATGTATGCATGTTTTTATTTTGGGGATTTTATTTTAATTTTAAATGTGTGCAGAAAGAGACATTATACACAATAATATAAAAATCAAAGAGACAAAAAGACATAAAGTACTTTTGAATCAATATAACTTTATTTACAAGCAGAAAGTAGACATTATTCTTTTTTAATTCAGGATAAATATATGACTTTCTCCCTATGGTGAATAGAAGTGAATTGTGATAATGCAAATTAGTAATGTAAAGTTTAAATCCAACTTTTCTTGGGCATTTTTCCAAATCAAGCAGAGTAGATATTGCATCAAAGTAACAGAGAAAATGTGGATTAAATGTGTAGTTTCCTCTTACCTTCAACCTGTATTCATATATTTTTGCCTACTAGTTACCGTATTCTGTTTTCTTCCTGTATGAATCCCCACTAGATGGCAGTGCTTGAAAAGTAAAAATAAATCAGACAGCAGCAGGTTATGCCTTTAAGTCCTAATCATGTTCTGCCTTATTCTTTACATTACAGCAAAGAAGGAATTTCTTACATAATTGAACACATAAACTATACAGCTGTCCATGCAAAATGTCATATAATTTAGAAATAGATAATGTGGGCCTTGCTTCTGTGGTTGCTGATCCTCTAAACTGAGTCGACTGTAGCTAAATGGTCTAAAAATGAAAATGTTTCTCTTTGCAGTGAAAAGCAGTGAGTGGATGGACAGATACCGCTTGAAGTTCCTTGGGTCGGTCCAGGTGCCCTATCATAAAGGAAATGATGTTCTCTGTGCAGCGATGCAGAAGGTAGGAAGCACCTTTTTTTATATGATTGTGTAAGAAACTCACTAGTACCACTTTATTAGATTAAAAAATGTTTTCCTAATTGTTATCATACTCATAAATAATTTTTGATTAGGTTTTAAATAAATGCTAAACTTTATATATTAATCTTGCCCCACAGATTGCTAACAACAGACGAATGACAGTCAAGTTTAACCCACCTTCCTTCTGCATCCTGGAGATCAGTGTCAAAGGAATAAAACTGGCGGTTCAAGAGGACTATTATGCTTGCAACGGAGTAAGACTCTTACTGGTCCTTTACTAGCATGTTATTTGAAAATTAGAAATACCACATTTTCCCACATTTGGACATCAGCAGCAAGTAAGGAACAGTTGACAACATAAGAAAAGAAATACCAGAATAGTGAAAATATTTTGTCCTGACATTGTGAGGTTTTTTCTACTTTCCCACAAAATTGTACATTATTGCAAGTGTCTTTGAGAACACCAACATGAGTCACCATTCAGTCGGAAAATTTGTTGTAATTATACACTCCACACAAATACACAGTGCATATCATTTTGATATTCTATGTTTACGAGTTTGAAGTTCATGACAGCATCTTTTATTAATTGGTTCTCTTCATGGTCCAAGATGTCCATAGTTCACATCAATTCTCAGTTTTAAAAAAACTCAGCAGATCTAATGTAATGTTGAAGTTTGTCTAAACAACAACAAAAAAAAAAAACATAATAAAAACAAGTAATACGTCAGGAGCTTTATTCTCTCTCTGCTGTTTGTGTCCACAGAGTAACGAATGCAGTCATTTCTTCCAATTAAAGAATGTCTCTTTTTGTGGCTACCATCCTAAAAACAGCAAGTAAGCTTTCCATTTTCTTGCCGTCCATCTGTGAAGTATTTTAGTTGCCACTAGATGTCATTGCATTTGAACGAATTGAACAATCAGAGCAAAATGCAATAAAAAAATGGAAATTAAACCTGAAAATAAAGACATAATGAAAATGACCCAGGTGATTTTGATCACTCTTAAATATTTTCTTCTTCTTTTTTTATTGTTTGCAGGTATTTTGGTTTTATTACTAAACACCCAGCAGATCAGAGATTTGCCTGTCATGTATTTGTGTCTGAAAACTCCACCAAACCTATTGCTGAGTCAGTTGGGTAAGTTTTTAATTGCAGCCAAACACATTTGAGTTAGTACTGATGTTAGATTAATCTTGTGCCAAACAATTTGCTTTTCAGTGCCTGCAAAAGTGTATTTATACCCCTCAAACCTTTTCAGATTTTGTCTTATTGCAACCACAATGTTTTGTACTTTTTGGGGGGTTTTATTTCTCCTTTTTTGGTGACAGATCTACTCAAAGTAACATCCAGCTTCGAGGTGGAGGTCTGAAAAGTGATGGTTTCATAATCCTTTAATTGGATAAACCTCCAAAAATCCAGTAGAGCCGCTTAGATTTCAAATATGCCTGTTTACTATGTAAAGGGGCTGCATGTTGGTACAGGTGTTGTTGCCTTACAACAAATTCTTAGCAGTCTGTCTGACATTTCCAAGTTAATGAAAAAAGCTGAGGAAGTTTTGAAACAATATCCCAAACTAAAGAAAAATGATAATAATAATTGAACTTTATTGATCTCACATTGGAAAAATTCACTCTTTGCATTTTACCCATCCCTTTGGGGAGCAGTGGGCTGCAATCGTGGGGTTAAGGATTTTTGCTCAGAGTTCCAGAGTAGGAGTCTGTGGGAGTGCGGCTCGAGCTCAGAACCTCAGGATTGCAAGCTCTATGCCCTAACCAATAGGCCACCACTCCCCACAAACCTCTGAGCATTTTACACACTACTGTTTATTTAGAAAGAGTAAACAACTTAAAAGGTTTTACTGAAAAATAGCCATTCACCAAAACTGACAGACCAGGCAAAACCAGAGAAGCCAATTGAGACTCATTAATAGCAGCAAGGATTGATAACGAATTTGAATCTCTCGACAGGAAGTCAAAGTCATGCAGGTAGGTTTCCAACCTTTATAAATGTGGGCAAGAAGAAAGTTTTTTTTAAATTGTGGTATAAAGTCTTTTATACCACGTTTTTGTAGGAGCGGTATACTGGAAACTCTACCTCCTACCCATCACTTGCATCCATTACTTACACCATACATCAGCAGTCAGAAAGTTCAGTGTTTTGTCACACTCATATTTTATATTATTGTGTTAAATCCTAAGCATAGTTGTAATGGTAAAGCAGGGCTGCTCCTGTAAAAGTAGCTTAAATATAGTCAAGTTTTTATTATACCTAAATGACCCAAAGCGGAAGGCTGTATTCTTACTAAAACATTCACCAAATTATTTTTCACATTTACATTCAGTTTTACAGTTCACATCATACCATTTAAAGCTCTATCAAACATACTGGACTAAAGAATGCTGTTCTTTTCCCAGTCTCTTATGGCTGTGTCCTTCGATACTAGTGAGTCATAACTTTCCCATGACCTACTACTCATCTTTTTCCAAGGTTCTTAGGAGATACAATCTACATGAAAAAAGTGTTGACTATTTTGCATGCGATTCAACTATGAGTTTAGTCACATGCAACTGTGACAACTGTGACTCTATTGTGAAAAACATGCAGAGAAATAAGAAGTCATACATGAGGCAAACACTTTTTCAGTTAAGCTTGGGGCATCATACAGGATAAGAATTGAGGCTGTTAGTGAATTGGGATTTGCATGTCATCTCTATCTATTTCCACTATAGTTACAGATCTTAGTCCGGGATCCTAGACAAGGCTGGATCAGAAGAACAGATACTTGTGACAATAACAATCCTCATTCTCTCTGAAAGTGAATTTCAGCCTGAGGCTTGATTTGCCTTTTGTTATTAGTAATTTGTAAATCCAACAGATGTTAAAGTTGTTACACAACTTTAACCCACGTATTTTGCTGAAAATGCATATGGGTAATAAAGTCCTGAATGCAGCTCTTCTTCTTGCATGCAAAACTCTCCATCAGATACTGTATATCTGACTGCATGTGTCCCTTAAATACACAATCCTCACTGCAGTCATTGTGCGGTAGAGCTATTTTATCATAACGCTTATCTTTAACATGCAAAGATAAAAATATATAGAGCCAGTAAATCCCAAACTGTGGAAGTAAATGACAATTCAATGTCACATAAGTAGCCTATATAAATAGAATTGAATAGCATAGACATTCAGCATCACAGCAAAAGTGGTCACATAAATGTGGACCTTAAAATTGTATAAAAAATAACAAAATAAATGGCAGAGTTAGAAAAATATATAAATAAAATACAGTAATGTACAGTGTTTTTAAAAATATAAATAGTGTGCAGTCACCAGAAGGTGACTGGCATATTTGGGTTAATTTTTGATTGAACAGTTGGAACCTCACCTAAAAGGAGAAAAAACATTTTATTATATTAGTTTTATAATCAGTTTTATCTCTAAACCTAATGAACAATAAAACTGCAGAAAAATGTTATAAGAAAAAACTTTACAAAAATCTACATCAGTTTCTATATTTTAATGCAATAAAAGTCTATATTATCATCATGGGCCTTATTTCTATATATATATATATATATATATATATATATATATATATATATATATATATGTGTGTGTGTGTATATGTGCATACTTCTTGGGTGCAGCCATCTTGAAGACTATGGCTGTATCCTACAAGTTAAGGCAATATTTTCTGCAAAAGTGGGAAATGTCAGGAGATGAAGGCATGTTTTAATGTCACTAAATACGATTCAAGACTAGAGAAATGTATTATTGGGTAGAGAATATTTTTTATATATATTTGTAAATATATATGTAGCTTTGCCTCGTCTGTTCCTGTTTGGCTGTGACGCCATCCTGGAGAGAAATATCAGCTGTGCTGCTGCCATGAACACCTTTGTTTATAGATGCTGGAGATCGGCCTGTTTTTCCAGTGTAGTCCTGTTTCACTGACTGTGATTGGCTTGATTTGCTCTCTTCATCCTCTGTCATGGGAGCTGGCTCAGAGCTCGTCTACCTGGCTGTGTGTTTCCTCGACGGGGCCGCCTTTTACAGCTGCTTTTTGTATCTCTGTTTCTGTCTCCTTGAACCCCAGTCGGCCTTGGCAGATGGCCGCTCACACTGAGCCTGGTTCTGCTGGAGGTTTCTTCCTGTTAAAAAGGAGTTTTTCCTCTCCGCTGTCGCTACAACCATGCTTAGTGTGAGGGATTGTATTTGAGTCAACGAGTCAATACAATCAACTGTGTTTCCTTATATAGAAAACTTTTAATCAATTTGACTGTATGATCTGGTTGAACTGTAAAGTGCCTTGAGATGATATGTGTTGTGAATTGGCGCTATATAAATAAACTAAATTGAATTGAATTAAATACACTTAAACACCTTGAAATTAAACATGAAATGCAATTAAAGGTGCTTTATATTTATATAGTCGGCCTAAATGAATCTACACATTCATTCTCCATTGATCTCATCAATAAATCATCTTCCACTTCAAAACCATGCTAGTTTTTTTTTTTATAGCCAGTAACATTAAATTACGATACCATTCCTCATCTGGCAGATAGACCTTCAGTGTTAGTTTAGCACCAAAATACATTGGATGGTTATCTCGTGACAAAATATTAAAAGGTTTAAGGGTTATGATGACTTTTGCAAAGCACTATGTTTGTTCATGATGTGTTAAATATTTGTTAGTTTTTTTTGTTGTGACAGTCTTTTTTTGACATTTTCTCTGCATTTCCCTTTTTCAGAAAAGCATTCCAGTTGTACTACAAAGAGTTTGTAGAGTTCTCGTGCCCAACGGAGGACATTTACTTGGAATAACCCTGCCTTTGACCACGGCCTTGTACAATATGCTGTATCATAACATAAAGTTGCATGGAGAAGAAATATTTAAAAGCGAAGAAGAAGAACAAACGCTTTAACAAACAAAGAGATGATGATTTAACTTTGTGCTTGAACAGGAGATGAAAATGAGCCAAAGGAGAAAAATTACTTATGCAAATGGTGTGAGTCAAAAGGTGGAGGTTATTTCCAAAGTCTCCACCCTTCAACTCACTGTAAAAAGCACAAACAAGGTGTTTCTGAAACCTGATCAATGATATTTAGCCTGTCACATCATCTCAGCAGCTTGATCACAGAAGAACTGGAGTATGCCAGATAAAATTGCACTTCATGGAAAAAAGAAAAAAAACAGGATGTTACATCTGAAAAATAACCCTTTGTTACTTTAATAGCTAATTAGCCATGTCGGTAGTAAGGAAGTAAAATCCTTAACACAATTGAAAGTTTACATTGGGTGAAATAACATCAGTGGGTATACATTTGCTTCTTTGAGGTATTAAAGCCAGTTACAGTAAAAGATTCAGAGAATGGAGAAGGAAATACATTAATCCTTCATCCATCAAGAGGGAAAATAAATCTAACTGCTGCAAGAGAGAATTAAAGGTCAATTATTGCTTGTTCACACTCCTTCAGACACACTAGCCATTCAAACTGAATAGACTAGCTGAACTGTACATCCAGAAGAGACAGAAAATCTCATTGACACTGCTTTCACACTTTGCAGTCTGTAGCATAATCGTCAACATCGGTAGGTTAGTAGTGGTACCAAAAACAAAGAAAGATTTAACCTTAAATTATAACAAGTAAAATACACTGTCTACAATAACGAAGTGATTTGGTTAACACTGCAGAGCAAAGTTAAACAGATGTCTTGTGTCCTGTGAATTCAAAGCTTTGTTTTTTATTTCAAACACACTCGGCTCTTTTTCTTTGATGTGACCCAACTTAATTGAAGTGGCAGCAAAAACACAAAAACTAAGCTTAACCTTACTAGTTAGTGCCTCTTTTAGACAATAGTTGTAAATATTCTGAGTCAACATACTTTCCCACAGAGTGTATTTAGTTTACATGTTCAACTGCAAATTATTAAGAAGTGTTTCGTGGTGACTGGCTTTCAAAGCACTACATTGCATTTTGCTCTACAATTGTTAATAGATCTCACGAAACAGATTTTTTTCACCTATTTGGGCTAAACTGTGTGATGTTAAGAATTACAAAAAATATATGGAACCAGGTACTTAACTTTTGACAGCTACGTGTTTGTATTTGGTTTACATTGAATTTAAACTAATCTAAAACTACTAAGTTCTGATGATGTAGAGATACCTATTTCCATAAGAATGCCCGGTTATTCATGTTGGGAAAATTGGATAATATTATAGTACTTTACTTTGTTAGTTTTAAAGATGGCTAACCTATCTGGGGCTGTTATAAAATATAACTGAAGATAAAGGTAATCAACTCTTTTGCTCTCCAGGATAGATCTAAAACCTGGATACATGGAGTGGGAAAAAAGGGTAAAAAGATTTAAGAAGTGTGTTTCCAAAGACATATGCTTATGTTCCCTAGTGCTCCCATAAAGACAAAGCATATATGTAATACAATGAACCACTGTCAGCAAGTGCTTTCATGAAAGACATATACAAGAACAAGTTGTTATTTTTTTTCTGGAAATATCTGATGGAAAAAAAAAAAAAACAGAGTAAAGTCCCATTTCTGTAAAACAACAAAGGGTAACCTTTAAATAGTCAGATGGAAGACAGTACTGTACAAAAGGTACAATAAAAATACACACTTTAGTTTTAACAGTGGTTAAGCGATTATATGTTTTACATGGAAACAGCAATTGCCAAGTTACAATCCTTACATGGGATTTGGAGTGCAAATGCCACAAACCATCTTAAAGGGGTAGAAAATAGTCTCAGATGGAATAGAAGTAAGGTTCATGTAAGCCATTCTGTATATACCTAATATATTCTGTTTGCTTGTTCTATTTTGTTCAGCAAATGTGAAATTACCGCAAACTTACACATATATTTTTATTCAAAGACAGGTGAATACCACCCGAAAAAGGCAGTTTAAAAAAAAAAAAATAGTTTTTAAGTTTGTTTATGAAATTACACAGCCAGTGTGAGGCGCCTTGGTTGTCAAAAAGGAAACCAAAATATTATATATTTTTTAATTTAACCTTTTTTAAGCAAGACTAGAGCTGATTTTGTTATATGCAAAATAAAATGTTTAACATCATCCCTAATTTTACTTTTCAGATCAGTATATTTTGTATATTTTACAAAGCAGTCTTTCTCAAGTATATGTAAAAGGTGGATCTGTCAAAGTAAATCAAAAAGAAAAACATTCTTCTTCTCTCTTTGCAACTTTGCAATGGAATCTATTTAAACAGAAGGGCAACTCTAAATGTATATGTAGGTTTGTTTGAAGGAACATTAACCATTATTCCAGGAACTCACTGATACTGCATACATGACATGGCACTCTGCCCAGACAGGTGCATGAAAGATTAAACCTTTTCAACAACACTGAGTGCCAGTGGTAAGCATGAGGAAGTCCAACTAACAAAAATACCTTTAGTTTGTTTATGTTTAACTTAAATTACTTTGATCTGATTCCACCAGATTCAGTTTGTGCGCTGCAGTTTTGCACTTTGTAAAACTAATAGATTACCACTTTTTTTTTTTTTGACTTCAGATTATTGAACTAACAGGAAAATGACAATTATCCATCATTTATTCATCATGTTTATTTTGATTAATTTTCACATCTGTTTATGTACTGTTTATTTTGAAAAGGACAAATGTATGCAAAAGAAGTATAAATAACCGAAGATTTCTGAAAATTGCTGTTTAGCTCAACAGTTACATGATTCAAGTACAACTTTCAACTTTTTCTCTGTGCTGAGCTGTTTGTTTTTTATTTACTATTTTGCCAACATGGTGAGCTCACGACTTTGTTTTTCCCTAACTTACTTTTCAAGAGCTAGTCATAGAAAACAGGTTTAATTCAGTTGAAACAACAAGAGATGTACAAAAAATGCCATATATAAATAGTTATGTAATATTTGTAATTATGAAGAATATATTGTAATGTTTTAGTGTGTTGTGACATTTAACTTTTTTTAAAATCTTTTCAGCTGTGAATTATTCTTGATTTAAAACGATCAAAGCAGATTTTTCTGGGGTCCTGTCATTATTACTGTACACTACCTTGTTTAAACCACACATTGACACATTCACTTTGATGCTTCCTGCAACAGGAAATACAGTAGAGGTTTCCAAATGTAATCTACTCTATGCATCCCTCATATTGGGACATAGCAAAATGGAATTTTTTATTTTTTTTTTTTCCAATGTTGTGTGGTTTAAGCATTTTTTGTCATATTGTGGGGAAGAGGAAAACAACCAACAACAAAAGTATATAATTAATTAGGTGGCAGTCGACATGATAGAAGACAGTGGAGAGAGCTCAAGGACCCCACCCTGAGGATCTCACAATGTCCCCCCTCCCTCTCTAGCAGCCAACCCACGAGCAAACAGCCCCAAAGGATGATATATTCAGGATAACATTATGGTTATTGATAAAAAAAAACTACAGAAATATTAAGGGTTGTAGTAATATTTGACTATAGTGATATTGAAATATAAATAAAAGATGAAAGCAATAATTTATTCATTTAAAGAGGAATCAATCTAAAGAAATAACTGGGAATGTGTGGATGGGTGAAATTAGCCAATGATAGCATGTGTATTTAGTATCCAGGAGCTGATTCAGAAAACAGTAATTAACCCTTACTGGGTTAATTGGATAACATTGGGAAGTAAAAGATATATAGGTCAAGTTGGCAATCTAGTTTTAGTTTTTTGAAGTGTGCATGGCATCACCTCCCAAATGTTAGATTTTTTTTAGGCATTCTAAAAATGTGTTCCAATTATTGAAAAATACAGTTATATTGTTTTGTTTTTTTTTAATGGATGCTTTCCAGATGTAAGTATACATTCAATAAGATGGTTTGTCCAGAAGTTAATATGTAGTGACTTTGTCTCTGTGGCAGAGAGAGGTCTGTGGCAGAGGACATGACTGAATTGCTTGAACCTTCTGGATCTGCGGTTTGATGACTCCATTGCCAATAATGTGTCCGAGATATTGAACTTCCGTCTTGGCAACGGTGCATTTAGTTGCATTAACAGTAAGACCTGCAGCATTAAGAGACTCAAAAACAGCCTTGAGATGTTGCAGATGGTCCTCCCAGCTGTTACTGTAGATGACAATATCATCCAAATAAGCAGATGCAAAGTCTGAAAAACCATCCAGTACCTTATCCATAAGTCTCTGAAAGGTCGCAGGTGCTCCATGAAGCCCAAAAGGCATGACGGTGACTGATAGAGACTCCAAGGTGTCCGGAAAGCGGTCAGCTCACGTAACCTGGTGGTAAGGGGAACCTGCCAATAACCCTTAGAGAGATCAATGGTGGTCAGATATTTTGCTCTTCCAAGACAGCAAATCAAGTCATCAATACGGGGAGTTGGATACAAATCAAACTTGGAAACAGAATTAAAATAGCGTAAGTCTATACAGAACCTCATGGTACCATCCTTTTTTGGTACAAGGACAATAGGATCAAGAGTAGAAGCTGATGGTAGCGGCAGGTACTGTTCCTCCACCTCCTCATCAGATACACTTCTGATGAAAAATACATCTTGCTTCCCCTCAGGCCTTGAGACCCACTCCTTTAGAAGGTTAATGTGCAAAACACTTGTACTGCGTCTCTGATCCGGAGTACAGATCTTGTAGGTGGTGGGTCCCAGTTTTTGAACAACCTCATATGGACCTTGCCACCGAGCCAGAAACTTACTGTCATCGGTAGGTAGCAGTACCAATACCTTTTGACCTGGTTCAAAACTTCTGTCACGGACAGTTTGATCATACCAGGATTTTTGCTTCTGCTGGGAGACACGCATATGTTCCTGAGCCAATGAGGTCATCTTTTCCAACTTCTGGAACACATTAGAATTCATATTGACAGGTTCTTTTTCAGGCTTTTCCCCCTCCCACCCTTTCTTCAAAAGGGCCAGTGGACCTCGCACCTCATGCTCAAAAAGCAACTCAAAGGGGGAAAACCCGGTAGAGGCTTGGGGTACCTCCCGATATGCCAACAAGAGGTATGGGAGCCACTGATCCCAATCAGACCAAGCTTCATTGATGAACTTACAAAGCATGTTCTTAAGAGTCTGATTAAACCTCTCTGTGAGTCCATCAGTTTGCGGGTGATATGAGGTGGTTCTAAATCCCTTAATGCCAATCAGTTTATACATCCTTCAGTAATTTGGACATAAAATTTGTTCCTTGATCAGTCAATATTTCTTTGGGGAACCCCACTCGTGAAAAAAAAACGAACCAGGCAAAAAGCAACAGTTTTAGCCTTGACAGATTTCAAGGGGAACACTTGTTTCAACAGTGGTTAAGCGATTGTTATTGTTTTATGCTTCCCCAAGTGGCCAGCCCAGGGAATTGAATGGCCCAAAGTTAACACAGTTTCTCTGGCTTTTCTGGGTAACACAAGCTGTTGTACACCTTCATGTCTCTTATAGAGGATGCCGTTTTGCATGTGAAATTCCTCTGCAGTTCCACCTTCCTCAGCTCTCTTAATAAGGTCTGCCAGACTTTTATCCTGGTGCTGTAGCTCACGGATATCCTCAGGAATTTCAAAGTCTAACTGTACTTCAGGTTCAGGTAACATAGGAGAGGCTGTGGTATGTTTGAATTTTTCTCACTTGCGCTGTGCACAAGACTTGTGTTCTTTAGTTCGACCCTCTTCAATTTCAGCCTGATAAAACTTTTAGAAGCATTAATTAGGTCTGTGATAACTGGAAGATCATTTCCCAGAACAACAGGAAAAGGTAATTCATCCATAACACCCACATTAAACAGGTAAACATGTCCTTGCACTCTCATATAAATGTTTGCTGTTGGATAGTTTTTTTCATCCCCATGAACACAGCAGATGGGTATTGTTTCTGAGGTGCAAATACTATGTGGTGCGACATGCCTGCGTTGCACCAATGTCTGATTGCTTCCTGTGTCAATCAGGGCTTTCAACCTCTGCCCATCTATTTCCACAGTAGGCTCCATGAGTGGCTGGTTTTTCCTGTTAAATACTTTGTTCTCTCCGGATGCAAAACACATCTGAGAGAGTTTTGAAGGATTTTGAGCACACATGGTCTTTGTGTGGCCCTCCTGCCCACACAAATAGCAGATGGGCTTTTTCAAAGATTTTGTTTGACTGGGGAAAAACATTTCTCTTTTCCAAACTGCTTACTCACATTTCCCGTTTGACTGGTGTTACCTGGACTTGGGATAAAGTCCCTTTTTGCAGCTCTAAAAGCCCATGGTTGAGTCTTCCTACAGGCTGCCACAAAGGCATCTGCCAGGGAAACTGCCTCCGCTGCATCTTTTGGGTTCCGTTCCTTAATCCAAACTTGGAGTTCTGGAGACAACATTCTGAAATACTGTTCAAGAATTATGATGTCATTTACTTCTTCAACAGTCTTATCTCGGGGTTGAACCCATTTACTATACAGTTCCTTAAGTCTAACATAAAGCTCCTTGGGGGACTCATTTGGTTCCACGTGAAGAGAACGGAACCTCTGCCGATACGTCTCGCTGTTAATTTCATATTTCTGTAAAATAGCAGCTTTAACATTATCATAGTCCATTGATCCATCCATATCCATATGTACATAGGCACTCCTGGCTTTACCCGTCAACAGTGGAATCAACTGAAATGCCCAGTCACTTTTTGGCCATCCGCAAACACAAGCTATCCTCTCAAAAGTAATAAGGAAATGCTCAGATGTGATGTAGAGTGGGGTTTCACTCAAATATTCTCTGTTGGGGACACGGTTCATCCTAGAAATGGATCACAAGGCTCTGAAATGGCTTGAAAGGATGAAAGACTCAAACAGCAGGATAACCCGCTTGTACCTGGCGATGCAACCGTTTCAGTTTGATATCAATCACATCCCTGGGAAGCTGAACACTACTGCCGACTACCTGTCAAGCTGGCCCTTGGAGTTTCCAGAAGAGGGGGAGTGTGTGGAGGTTCCTCCAACTTTTCTTCAGTGTTAGTATTTATTTATTTAAAGGTCTTCACACAATACATTTATAATTTCACTTTTGTGGTGTTTTTTTTTTGGCATTAGGTTGTTAACTATTATGGGTGAATACATTTAGTAAACACCTTTTGTTTATTTGAATAACTACTTTTCTTTGGTGAGTTTGAAGGACTAGCTGAGTGGAGTGGTGCTAGCCTCTGTGTATAAATTCCCCTGTGTGTTCATTTTGTGAGGTCAGTTTTTTTGGTTTGTTATCCTGAGTTAGGTATGCCTTAGTTGATTTCCTTTGGGCACATTTTGGTATATTTTTTGAGTTTTGATGTAAGTCCTTTTTTGTGAAGATTTTTTTTGGAAATAAATAGAAAATACTTTTTTTATATGCCTTTGTCTTTGTGCCTTACTGGACGGACCACCACAAATGGACTACATAAACAGGCTCTGCGTTGTCTTGTTGGAAAAGCATGGTTATGACCTGTTCTCAGTTTAAGAACTAGGACCCGTATGATATCTGGTTGTTCAATAGGTTTGCCTAAATAAAAGATTTAGATATGACTTATCAAGCTATTCCTGCAAAAAGGTCTGGTGTTGCAGGGGCAGGTAATGAAAAGTGCTTGGAACATGCTCTTGTTCTGATGCTCTTTGTTTCAGCCTTATCCAGTCTCATGTAGAAGAGCTGGTCATATCGCAAGTTATTTTCATTGCAATAGGGACAGTTAGCAAGGTAGAGTGAATACACAAGCTTGAACAGGGGAGGGGGACTTGCAGGAAAACTGAAATTCTCTGGGACTTCTAGTGTTAATATATAACATTTATGTCTGTTCATGTAATGATCTAGGCCGTGACGCTGGGCTGATCACTCATTCCACACACCTGCTCAGTTCCACAATCAGCTCTCACCTGTCTCTCACCTGTCTTGGTTGTATTTGGATCAAGCCTCTGTTCCTCACAATATATCTGGCCAACATAGATTCATCACCAGATGATCAGTGGCGGGCTGGGGTGGAAAATATCCATTTCTCAGTTGGATTCTTTCTCATTTCTCCG